ACGTTTTCATATTTAAAGAATTTGCCACTGATGATTCAAACGCGAGTTTTGAGCAGTGTAGAGTAGCGCTTGTATGCAGACATGGTTTAATGTTTACAATATGTGGAAAATAATGTTTTGTGAACCTTAAACCGCATAAACACATTTCATTACACCAAATAAACAAAATAATGTTATTTTTAGCAACATCATATGACTCCTTTAAAAATAATTTAATGTATAATCTGCCTAGTTTAGGAGTATGGAAAAATGCATTTGGGCAGAAAATTAACATGATTTCTCACAAGATTGACAAGCAGTATTCAGCATAATTAGTTCAAACACAGTGTGATGGACAGACTTTATTAGCAGTAACCACACCATTAGAGTCACTGTTTCTGACTTGAGGGCTTCATCTGTTCGTCACACCAGAGGCTCAGTCACAAAAGTGAAAGCACCCATTTTATTGACTCCCACAAAGTGTTGTGTATATCAACAATTGTGTACATAACTAAGTATTTGAATATGCAAAATTATTTATGCAAATACCAATGTATGCTGCTTGAACAGAGGGAGAATTACAGATGTGTCACACTGACTGGGTTAAACGAACAATTCACCTAAAAATCATGAATAATTTGCTTACCCTTTCCAAACCATGTGATTTTCAAAACCAGATATTTATAGATATAGATAGTGATAAGACATCAAGCTTTAAAATTTTGGGGGGAAAAAATTATATATATCATGGAATTTACGGAAAAGCTCAACTAAATAACAGCGCTAATAAGTGGGGGGCGTGGTGGCTTTGGCGATCAGCGCTCCAGTCAATCTACTCCACAGCCAATCACGGGCCCCCTCCTTGCTCGGGCCCCAGGGCTTCAGCCCCGCCTAGCCCAATGGTTAAAACGGCCCTGCTTGTCGTGGATAAATAAATATGACACTAAAACAGCCAGTAGGTGGCGGCAAGTGTCTGTTTTAATGAAAGATTAATTGAATCCTTCAATCAAACGATTCTTTCAAAATGGCAGATTCAATTAAAATTGAAGCAAATTGACTGTCTTTATGAATGGATCATTGAATAATTGGCTCACTCCATTCGTTCAAAAACAGATTCATTCAGGAAAGATACACCACAGTGTTGCTCTGAGACGCACAACATCTCTGCTCCGGCTTTGTTTGGAACTATTTCATTTGCAAAACAGGAAAAAAATACAAAATGTGTCTAAAATTTAACTCACTCAATTAACTTCTTGTCTGCTGAACTGCTGTATAACATTTATTTAACATTTGCGATTACACACACGTGCTGATTCTTGTGATATTACTTAACTTTATCATATAAAGTAAAGAATAAAAAAATAAAAACTTACATAAGGATATGTTTCTTTCATTATTTGAATTATAGAGGCATTCTAACTGCATTCTAATAGGCTTCATCATGCAATAAATGCTTTTGGACTCTACTTACCTACTTGATAATGTCAGCTAGCGTGAATTAGAACAGGGTGATCATTTCTGAATGAACGCGTCCCTCGTCCTCACAGTCATACATAGAACAGCAGCACAATAACGTCAGGGGAATGTCTTTAAACTCGTCAGCTAGCGTGAATTAGAACAGGGTGATCATTTCTGAATGAACGCGTCCCTCGTCTCTCTCTCTCAGTATCGTCCCTCGTCCTCACAGTCATACATAGAACAGCAGCACAATAACGTCAGGGGAATGTCTTTAAACTCTAATCAAGGAAATATCATACCTTATTATGTTGTCTTCTTTTTAAAGAACGTCAGAAGTTGCGCTTGAAACATTTTGCGCGAAAAATGACAAAAACATGCGTGAGCTCGCGCGCATCTCGTTAATACTGAGCTCTGATTGGCCAATCGACGTTATTTAGTTTCTAAATTATTATACGTAGAGAATATTAATTAATATTTAATTTGCACGGTAAGTTTTAAACCTACGTAATACACAGCATTATAAATTTAAAGGGGATGGTGGTTTTACCGAGGGGATGGTTTTTTTTTTTTTGCCTTTTTTTTTCAAGAAGGCGGGGGCACCCAACAGCACTTTGATAACCAATCAGCAAAATCTAAAGATTAAAAAATTATTAAAATATATAAATATTAACGGTAACATAGAAAATATCTATTGTTTTGACCAACAAGAAATGCAATTGATAAATTATATGAAATATCAACATATCGCCTAAAATACATTGTTTTAATAGTGTTTTCACTTACCCAACCTATATTACGATTATTAAATGGTTCAGTTTAATAATAAAAATAATAATAAATCATAATAAATAAATAATAATAAATGCATGCTTTATGTTTTTTGTTTATTAAAACTGAACCTTACCATCGTGATTCATGTCTCTCCCTCTCTCCCTGTCTTCCCTATCGAGAACTCTGAACTTGTGGGTTTGGCTTGTGTGGACGGATGTAATTCAGTCGTGAGTGTCAGAGGCGGTTGAGCTCCACAGCCCACCTCACCTGGACCTCAACCATTCTTTCAGGAAAACATATTGAATGAAATAGAAAACAGAACAACATGTACTTGTTTGTTTTATGTCACTATATAGATATAGCTACACAAAGATCTCTGTTTACCTGATGGTGATGTATCCTGAGGCGCACGACGTAATATTGGAGACGGCGAGGTGAACACGCAGCCGGTAAGTCATTCTAATATAGTCCATTGTAAGTTCAGACACGTATTTCCATCATTTCTCTGAAACGGGCATTAATAATACAGACTAAGATCTTTTATACGCCTCTCAATTTCTTCGTTTATTTAGTGCGCACTGCTTCACGGACCATTGCGCCGTCGGTGTCCGTGGACTGGGAAGTGTGCCATGAAGTTCCCACGGACTCCAGTGTGTTTATGTCTCTGTAGTGATAATGGTTTTGCCATGTACCTATTCGTCTCTCAGATAAAGACGCTGGAGTGTGCTCGAGCGCAGGCAAGCCGTGCGTAATGAGCTCTTAACGCGCAAAATACATTTTACCTTAATAAAAGTGACCTGACAAGTTGCCTCAGAAGAAGTCAAGGCGCCTTCTTTCGCTGTTAGAAATAAAACAATATGGTCTCGCCAAGATTTTCTCTGACAGACTCTCTCTAAAAGGATACAAAATATTCATACCCCGGAATGGAGATCCGTACTACCCTGTAGTCACTTGTAAGATATGCATGTGAATCTGAAATGGACTCATTTTTAATGTATTTGTATTCATATATTGTGAAGTTAGATTGATTGATTGACTGTTCCATCTGTATAATACAAGTCCATTGGATATTATGAAGTTTTTGTGAGTTGTCTATCTATCTATCTATCTATCTATCTATCTGTTTGTACACTGACTTTCTAATGTCAACTCGACCCTGTGTTTTCAGGTTGTCAAACCTATAAGGGCAGCTTGGTCTTTCTCCAAAATCTGACATGGCCATGTGATAAATGGATTCCCTCAGCTTAATCAATGGCTCCTCTGGGAGCAAAGAGCTGGCCATCGGGGAGGATTCATCTGACGTGACCCTGAATCACCCGCTGCTAGAGCTGGGAGACAGCACCAAGCTTCTTGGGGTCCAGGTGGTCCTGATCTTGGCATATTCTACCATCATCCTTTTGGGTGTTGTGGGGAACTCCCTGGTGATTTATGTGGTTTACAAATTTAAGACACTTCGTACTGTCACAAACTTCTTCATTGCAAACCTAGCCGTGGCTGATCTGCTCGTCAACACGTTGTGTCTCCCGTTCACGCTGGCTTACACTCTACTTGGGGAATGGAAGTTTGGACAAGTGCTTTGTTTCACTCTGCCGTATGCTCAAGGTCTCGCTGTTCACGTCTCTACAATTACATTAAATGTAATTGCACTGGATCGGCATAGATGCATCGTTTATCACCTAGACTCTCGAATGTCAAAAGACACCTGCTTTCTGGTCATTGCCATCACCTGGGTAGTAAGCGCTGTTCTGGCTAGCCCACTGGCCATATTCAGAGAGTATGGGATTGTAGATCTTTCTCCAGGTGACTCCATTGAGGTTTGTGGAGAGAAGTGGCCTGACAGTAGTACAGACAGCACTCTATACTCGTGAGTACCAGACATGCATATTTTAATGAACAGCATTATTAGAGTTTCCTCATGCCTTCAAGGGGTCTCAAATGTATGCTGTGTTCATTTATCAAATGTCACTGTCTTCCAATTACACTGAAAGCACTTACATCTATATATTTTATAGATAAATATACATATTTATGAAGATTAAACATTGATGTTTATGTAAACTGACAACTTTTAGGTTTTTGATCTTACAAACTTCTGAAACATTGTCAAAGAGTTTGATTATTGTGAATTATTTAGATTCAACTCATAGTATTACAATCTATTTTAATCTTGAAAGCTTGTTCTGTAACAGATAAAATGAGTCATAGCTTGTTTAATTTCAGAAGAAGATTACATGTTTTATGATAACATCTTTAACAATAACATAACGACACTCTTCAGCTGCCCTTACGCGATGATGGCTGTTTTCTTTCTTCAGAATCTCCACGCTGCTGCTGCAGTATGTGTTGCCTCTGGCAATCATCTCTTTTGCCTACATCCGTATCTGGATTAAACTCCGCAATCACATCAGCCCAGTTGGTCGCCATGACAGGCACCAGCGCCGCCGCAAGACCACCAAGATGCTGGTTAACATGGTGTGTACAGTTCCCAGCTTTCATGATCAAATATTATATCATAGTGTTCCTGCATTTTCATATTATTTTAGGCTTTCACATGTCGACAGCAAAAAGCCTGATAATGAAAACAATGAGTAATATCTAGTGGTTGACTGAAATGGGTTTTTATAATGACTCTTCATACCAGTAATATTGTGAAACATTATTATAATTTAACAGTTTTCTAATTTAATATATTTTAAAATGGAATTTATTCCTGTGATGGCAAAACTGAATGTTCAGCAGCCATTACTCCAGTCTTCAGTGTCACATGATCCTTCAGCAATTGTTCTAATATGCTGGTTTGCAGCTCAAGAAACATTTCTTATTATTCTGTTTTCAAGTTGTGCTGCTTAATATTATAGCATCATATATTTTTCAGGATTCTTTGATTGAAAATTCAAAAGAACAAAATTTAAAAGTCTTTACTGTCACTTTTTAAAATCAATTTAATGAATCATTACAGAATAAAAGTATTAATTTCTTTTAAGAAAATATGTTTATATATATATATATATATATGGACTTCTACAGTTGATGACTTCTGATGTTCACATCAAGGATTTTAGTCTTTTTTTAATGTGCCTTCTCTTTTTATTGTTTAGAGCCAGGACTGTTAGAACAGCATGCATTTCCCAAGAGTCTTCTGTAACCCAAATATTTTAGAGCTATTTTCTCCACAGTGATTTTGAAAGATGTTATAGTTGCCAATAATATAAACAGAGAACTAGAACAGGATGCAGATGAGGCTTTTTATTGCAGCTTTACCAGTACAGTAACATCTCACCCTGTCTGTTGCAGGTCGTGGTGTTTGCGGTCAGCTGGTTGCCTTTCCACGCTTTCCAGCTCACCATTGACATTGACCACAGCGTGTTGGACATGAAGGACTTCAGGCTTCTTTACACTGTTTTCCACATTGTGGCCATGTGCTCGACGTTTGCCAACCCACTGCTGTATGGCTGGATGAACCGGAACTACCGCAGCGCCTTTGTTTCGGTTTTCCGTTGCAAGGAACGGCTTGATTTGTTGCACGCCGAGGGCCAGGCTGCCACAGCAGTTTGCAACAAACCCAAAAAAGCTTTAGAAGCCCAAGATATAGTGACGACACATCTCAATGCAACAGATGTCTGAGATGACAAAGGTATATCTTTCTTATCTATCTGTCTGTGTCTGTCTGTATGTCAGACTATCTATCTATCTATCTATCTATCTGTCTGTCTGTCTGTCTGTCTAACTAAACTGCCCCTCTTTATGTTTATATGGTTTAGGTGAGGATACTGAAAGGACTCCTGATGTCAAATCGAATCTGTGGAGGATTCGTCATGGTGGGGAACGTCCTGGTGATTTATGTGGTTTCCAAATTAAGACACTTCATACCGTCACCAATTTCTTTATGGCACAACTTGCCATGGCCGATCTGCCTGTCATCATGGTGTGTCCCATCTATGCTGGCTTACACTCTACTGTGGGAATGGAGTTTGGAAGTACTTTGTTTCACTTTACTGTATGCTCAAGGTCTTGCTGTCCATGTCCCAGTGTTAAATGAAATTGTGCTGGTGGCAACATCACAACAATGTGACCTAGCTAAATTCTATGTTGTGAACTCAGTGCAGTAAAAGAGCACAGTCTTGAAGATCTTCTCATCTACATTAATGCATCTTCACCAAGATCTATAAGGTGGTTGAATATACTTATACTCGAAGCAAGAATATTTTCATGAATATTTCCGGATCTTGCCATGCGGATGCCTCTCCATTGGTAGGAAAGATAACTATACGCAATTTTGTTCATCATAGAAGAAGGATCATCATCATGAAACAGTTTCAGATGTTATCATATGACAAATTTGCGCTCTCTAATCTTTAAGCAGCCATCATCTTGTGTGAATTTACAGGCAGGTCATGCACTCAAATGGCTCTGGAAAGTGTTAACAGCAAATTGCTTCTCCTTTCATCTGAAAGTAATTTGCACAGAGGAATAGTGTGGCGGCACTCCTTCAGACTAACAACGGCACGATGACAGGGAGGTGTTTCTACCCCTGAGTTATGAATGTTTCAATACAAAGATCTGTATTAGCTCCTCTATTAAACCTCGAGGGATGTTCTGACATTTCAATACTTTTCATATGAAAATATTAAGAATGTGTATCATATAAAATACAGCACAAAGAATTATCATTGACAGTACTTGACAGATCAAAGTGGATTGTTCACTTGCTGGTTCACTTTTTAAAAACTTATCCCTAGTAATGGGTTGTAATGTGCAAATATGACAACATAGATGTGTAAGTAAAAAAAGAAAATGGGGAAAAAAAGGATTGCACAGGTAATGGAAACATGCTCTCTACTGTATATTGTTCTCTTCTGTAAAGCTGTCACATTTGCAATCACCGTGCCAGATGAATGTAATTTCAATGTAAGAAAAAATGTATCTGACACATTTTATATATATATA